GTCTTGATGGTGCCGCCGCCGCCGCCCGCGCCCAGACCGTCCACGCTATTGCCTTCGAAGTCGAATTCTTTCAAGAAAACCTGGTGGAAGTCGGAGATCTCAGAGATGAGGTCCTTGAAGGCGTCCGACGTGATGATCTCGTCGCTGGTGTCGTCGCCGATGAGGTCCGTCAGGCCCGGGAAGGAGGCCCCGTTGGCGGCGGCGTCCTAACCACAAATTCACAGAAATTGCATATTTACTATTATTATTATTATATTTATTATTATTGTTATTATTATTATCATTAAAAATGATCGTCGCTCAGAGCGTTCTATTTCTAAAAGACCTGAGGGAATTATGCTACTTCAAACCCATTCCGACCCTCCGACTTTATTTCAAAACCGATATATGAATTGAAGCAGCGTGACAGCAGAGTTTTGAGCTACCTTATTGCATTTACCCTTTTCTCAAATCAGAAAAATAACCTCGATGTAACCTTTTAGGTCACTGTTTAACATTTGTCGTACGATGCCACTCCCTCTACAGTAGTGATTCTCAAATATTTTAGACATTGTGTTGTTACACGCGTAATTTTCACGTCCCTACGATGAAATTTGTTCCAAATACCAGTTTACGAATGTTATGTATCATTAAATCAATTGTTAAATATATCGAAGTAATTATAATAAATCTACATAGTACAAGAAAAAATCGATCTTAAATAATTACTGGAACGTGGAAGAGAACACTGACTTTTCAGTTAAATTATTAATTGTACTGACAAATCATCATACGGAAGTTGCTCATGCACGCCTTCCACACTTCGAATGAGTAGACTGTGAGAGGGTAAATGACGTTTAAAGGTTTTTGGTGTAAAACTGTGAGCCTCGGAACTTGTGATATGCGAATGTGTACCAAACTTCGGAGATCCAGGCTTTGACTGTACATCTTGCATCAACATTCTGGCGCTCGCCAACTGATCTTGAAAGTAGCTCAATGTCGGTGGGCATCATGCTCGTAAGTTTGCGTACTGAACAGTGTGACGGGCTGGGAGATGGTGTAGTGAGGCAATGGATGTTGGAAGCGATGGTGTGTGCGAGTGTGTAGCAAAGCGCGAAACGCGCTGCTCACCTTCTCCAGCGCCGCGGCGCACTGCTCCAGGTCGACGAACTCGCTGTCGGGCTCCTGCTTGCACTCGACCAGCGTGCCGATGTCGAGGCCGGGTTCGCGGCCTCCGCCGCCGCCGGGCGGCCCGCCGCCCGCGCCGCC